GGAGCGGTGAGCCACTCACTCAAGGAAGTCTGTAGTTCGGAATGCCGTTCTTCCAGATTGTCCTTGGAATATCATTGCAAGCAGGCCCCTAGGGAAACTCCCCTTGGGCAGACTGGCCACTCAGAACTCAGTCATCTGATCCCATCATGGGAACAACCACCCAGAACTGGGGTCCAGCCAAGTTTACACACAGCTCCAACCATCACACCTAGTAAAAGCATTATTCCTTTCACCCCAGTTTGATGAGATTAATCCAGCTGTGCTTGAAGATTCTTTGAGATATTGCCTGGGGCAAATGCCTTACATGACAGTGCTGAATGTCCCCAGGACTGACCCCAAATGTCCATTTTTGGTTCTAGACCTATACTAGATTTATGTCCCAACAAGCCCCAAGAGATGAAGTACAAAGTGTGACCCAGAAGGAGGTACACTACACTCCAAAAGAACTGTTAGATTTTTCTAATATATATATTATATACATATGTATGTATGTATGTTGTTGTTATGTGCTGTTGAGTTGGACTTGACTCATAGCGATCCCTCCTTGGGTTTCCAAGGCAGTATCACTACAGAAGTAGATTACCCAACCTTCCTTCCGAGGAGTGGTTGGTGGGTTTGAACCGCCAGCCTTCTGGTCAGCAGTCAAATGCCTTAGGCACTATGCTACCAGAGCTCCTATACATATGCACACATAATACACAAACAGAACCCTGGGGAATATATGTGGGAATAGCTATTAAGGATGTGGGATAATAGTGCAAAGAACATAAAGTTGGATCAGTCTGAGTTTACTGATAGGTGCCCACTAAGGACAGATTCTTCATTCACTGTTTCTGCTCAAAAGGTTATAAAAGGATCTAACAGCTTATTTTGTTGGTTCACTGAAACATGATTTAAGTGGTGGCCTACACTAAGTCAAGTTGAAACACCACGCATGTGTTAGTATAATGTAGAAAGTGTCCAAAGGCTTAGGGAAACTGACATGTTAGAGTGGATTTATCAAGTAGGACCCACAGACTCACCCATAGAATGCCCAGAGGATACACCTTTTACCACAATGGTGAGGAACAAATTTGTGAAGGAAGCCCCAGTATCCTTAAAGACCACTGTGATTGTTATTTTATGTAAGCCATATTTGACAGGAGAAATTGCCCTAACTGAATTAAGATACCTAACTACCTCTGGTGGCGTAGTGCCTAAGTCATTTGACTGTTCAAACCCACCAGCCACTCCTCAAAAGGAAGACTGGGCAATGTACTTTATTCATAGGGATACCACCTCGGAAACCCAAGGAGGGTTCACTATGAGTTGGGATTGACTCAACAGTGGTTAGTTTTTTTGGTTTAACTACAATGGGGCTGATTGGACCTTGCAGTAGTAGAGGCCAAGTGGCAGTTCTTAATTGACAAAGAAAAGATAAACATGATTACTGTAAATGAAAGCAGAATCAAAGCAGTAATCAGAAAAGTCTGACTCATATAAATTTACGGCATTGGCTACTTAGTCATGGTGTCACTAGGAGTGAAATAGATGGAAAAACTATTAACTATTTATTTGATCTATACAAGCTGAAGAATTCTAGGTCAACTGAATAGATGTCTAATTTGAATCACTAGAATTGAGAGTCATGGTCCTTCAATCAGGTCCGAGACTTGAGCAGTTCACAGACTCAGAACCCCTTGAATGAAGGGGAGACTGGGTCTCCTTGAGGAAGGACCCCACTGCACTGCCAAGAATTTATACTGATAATCTTTCTCCCAGCTTTCCTCAAACCTATCTATGGCATTTTATGAGAGAAACTGTTCACTGGTGAAAAGGAAATAATCATACTCTCCGGGGATTACTGGACACGGGCTCTGAACTGACATAATTCCAAAGATACAAAACTTCATAGTGGCCCACCAGTCAGAGTAGGGACATACAGACGTCAGGCTATTAACGGAGTCTTAGCTCAGATCCATCTCATAGTGGGTCCAGTGGGTCCCAAACCCATCTTGTAGTGGTTTCTCCAGTTTTAGAGTGTAATTGGAATAGACATACTCAGCAACTGGCAGAACCCCCACATTTGATCCCTGACATAATAAGCAAGAGCTATTATGGCAGGAAAAGCTATATGGAAGCTGTTAGAACTGGCTCTACCTAGGAAAATAATGAGC